ATTTTTTAAATTGTGGTAAAATATATAAACATAAAGTTCAGCATTTTAGCCATTCTTAAGTGTACAGTTCAGGCATTTAGTACATTCAGTTTGCTGTACAGCCATTATCACCATCTTTGCCAGAGACTCTCCATACCCATTAAACATTAAATACCCCTTCTTTCCTTCCCTGGCTTGATAATCACCATTTTACTTTCTGTATCTGAATTTAACTACTCTGGTTGCCTCCTTAAAGTAAGTGATTGTATAGTATTTGATCTTTTGGCTGACTTACTAAAATATCTTAGAGGTTCTCATCTTGAGCAACTTTGTTGCCCTTAAGGTTCATTCATGTTGTAACATGTATTAGAATTTGTTTTGTTTTTAAAACTGAAAAACATTCCACTATGTGCCACATTTTTTTAATGTTTTAACCTTTCAGTTGGTTGGCCCTATGACTATTTTGAATAAGGCAGCTATGCATGACATACAAATATCCATTTGAGTTTGCATGTATTTTCTTTGCTCTGAGTCACCATAGATTCCAAGTCACATCTGTGGTGAGAGGAAACTATTCCCCAGGCATTAGTAACCTGACCAGTCCTGAGATAATGATTAAGCAGACCATAGTTTGACCAAGACTGTTGGACTGTGTGTAATATTTCTGGTCTCCATTATCTACATAATTTGGAAGCACATGATAGTACCCTGAGGACAGGGCTAAAATGCTTTATCTCACTTTTCCTTCTAATTATGGCCATATTTATTATACTTCTTTCCCTGCTTTTCATCATTCCTTTTTTTGTTTGCTGTTTGGGGCCTGTGGCCAGACATGATGTGTTAGTAAATCCTAGAGTAGGACCTCCTGACCTAGGACTCCTAACATCTTTCTTTTGATTATATATCCAGAAGTAGAATCTCAGGTGATATGGTAATTGGATTTTTAATTTTTTTTTTAAGAAACCTCCTTTACATTTTTCATGGCAGCTACACCACATATCATTTCCAGCAGTAGTACTCGAGGGTTCCGATTTCTCCATATCCTCATTACCACTTGTTTTCTGCTTTTTTATTACTAGCTATCCTAATAGGTATGAAGTGCTATCTCATTGTCATTTTGATTTGCATTTCCCTAAATATTAGTGATATTGAGCATTTCTTCATTAAACTTTTGGGAATATGGCCTATATTTCTTGTTCAAAAGCAATTTGTCATATAGTCAGCTCAATTTAATCTTAAATTTTTATTGTTGCAAAAAAACATTAGAGGATCATCAGAATTCTTAATCTGAAACACATCTGGTTTCAGAGAGTACATGAAAAGTACCAATGCCGCAGTCTGGCTGGGCACAATTCAGGAGCCACTTGTCAAAAGAAGCTAACTTTATTTTTAGAACACACACACCAAACCACACAGCTCCTCAGGAAAAACCCTCAGAGCCCAACTGCCACCACCGGCTTCCCACAAGCCTCTCCACCTCCCCCACTCCTCCTGCTCTTGAGGCCGATTGGCTGGGTCGTGTGGGCGGAGCCAAAAAAGTCCCCCAATGAGCAGCTCCGTGGTCTGAAAGGGCAGGGAAACAGCCCAATGAGCATTACCGCAGAGGAGCCAATCAGTTGGCAGCTAGAAGTTTGCTGTGGCCGCTGTGAGCCAATTATCAGCTGGCAGCTGGAAGTTTGCTGGGGCCCCTTTCGGCCATGGCTCTCAACAGAAACACATCTGGTTTCGGAGAGTACATGAAAAGTCACCATGAAAATAAAATTCTATCAGATTCTCAAAAGGACATATGATACCCCGAACTCCTGATGTAGCCCAGAATAACTAAAATGTTAAAAATCATCTTTTTGTTAGATCAAACTAAAGTAATTCTGAAATTTCAACTTTGTACTTTTCTGTGTTTTCCAGAGTATTTTATATAATTGTGTATGTTGCATGGGATCTCTCTTTGTTTGTGTGTGTGGTTTTAATTAAATAAATGCTATTTTAAAACTTTAAAAGTAAAATCCAATCAGGCACAGAGGTACACATGTGTAATCCCAGCTACTCTGGAGATCATAAATTAAAGGCCAGCCTGGGCAATTTAGCAACTTTGTCTCAAAGTAGAAAGTAAAAAGGTCTAGCAATGGAAAGAGCTCTTGCCTTGCATGTGTGAGTTTAGTCCCAAGTATTATCAAAAGAAAAAAACATTTAAAAATCCATATTTAGCTCTTGGACCTCCCTTAAAAAAACAAATCTAAGAACTAACAGAAGATAAAATGAATATGTTATATTCTTTTTTTTTTTAATTTTAATATTTATTTTTTTAGTTTTTGGCGGATACATCTTTGTTTGTTTGTGGTGTGAGGATCGAACCCGGGCCACACGCATGCCAGGCGAGCACGCTACCGAATGAGCCACATCCCCAGCCCCGAATATGTTATATTCTTAAGATTGTTAACCTTCTCTTAGGACCATGGCATTTCCAAGTATAAAAAGAATGGGCCCCACGTTAATTCAGTTGTCTCATACTAGACAAAAGCGCCAAAAACATTCTTTGGAGGAAAGATAGCCTATTCAACAAATGGTGCTGGGAAAACTGGAAATCCATATGTAACAAAATGAAATTAAACCCTTATCTCACCCTGCATGAAACTCAACTCAAAGTGGATCAAAGATTAGGCCCAAATCTTACCATGTTGGCTTAGGATTGTGTGAGAAGTAAAATCAAGAATCAATAAAATGGGATGGATGAAAAAGCTTCTTCTAATCAAAGGAAATGATCAATAACGTGAAGAGAGAGCCTACAGAATGGGAGAAAATCTTTACCACAAGCACCTCAGAGCATTAATCTCCAGGATATATAAAGAACTCAAACTCAACATCAAAATAACAGTTAACCCAATCAATAAATGGGCTAAGGAACTGAACAAGACACTTAACAGAAGAAATGCAGTCGATCAACAAATACATGAAAAAAAGTTCAACACCTCTAGTGGTTCCAGAAATGTAAATCAAACTACTCTTAAGATTTTATCTCACTCCAGTCAGAATGGCAGTTATCAAGGATACAAGCAACAATAAATGTTGGCAAGAATGTGGGGGAAGAGGTACACTCATACATTGCTGATGGGACTGCAGATTGATGCAGCCACTCTGGAAAGCAGTATGGAGATTCCTCAGAAAATTTGGAATTTAATCACTATTTGACTCAGCCATCCCACTCCTCAGTTTATACCCAAAGGACTTTAAATCAGCATACTGTAGTGACACAGCCATATCAATGTTTATAGCAGCTCAACTCAAAATAGGTAAACTATGGACCAACCTTCTGTTACACAGATGCTAATTCACAATAGGTGGAAGTTAGGGAAGAATAGAGGTACTTTGGATTAGGCAGAGGGGAATGATGGGAGGGGAGGGGGTATGGGGGTAGGAAAGAATAGAATGACTCAGACATTGTTACTCTAGGTGCATATATGACTACACAACCAGTGTGATTCTATATCATGTACAACCAGAAGGATGAGAAGTTACACTCTATTTATGTATGATGTGTCAAAATGCATTCTACTGTCTTGTATAACTAATTAAAACAAAGAAAAAAGGAATGGGCTGGCTTTACAGCTATAAAAAAGAGATATTTATCTTTGAATTCATTTCTTCTGAATTCATCACAATAAAACATTTGCATTTGAGTTCTTTATTATAAGCTTTATTATAAAGAGAATGTATGGGTTCTGTAACTAGTAAAACAATGTTTACTAATGTATCTATTTCAACTGAATTTTATTGCAGGAAAGTATTTGCATGAGTCCTTTGTAATGAGATTATACTGATTTTCCTACAATATCTTTACATAGTACTTTCTCTGTTGATCCTTTGGGAAAAGATATTAAATTTTTCAATTTAATTTTAGGTCATTCATCACATAATATTAAAAGCAACCTGAAAGAATTCTCTAAATATTTATTTCACATAGATGGATATATATACCTGTGTATATTTATTAGCCTAAAAAACTTTAGGAAATCTTTAAGATTTCATAAAGACCTTCCCAGGCCATCTCAATTATTAAAGTTTATTGTCGAATCTCCTTTGTCTTTAAGCTTTTTGGCTAGGTATAAGAATATTCCAAATAAGGTTGAAATTCCCCTACCACTTAACATGGGAGTTATATTCCAAGGCTGCCAGTAGAACAGTTGTAGCAATGTCCAGGCCTACCTGAATTGCCAACATCATTACTCTTGGAACCATTATTAAGTAAAATAAGAGTTACTTGAACACAAGCACTATGATACCACAAGAAGTCCATCTTTTGACAACTACTAAGTGTCTACTGGGCATGTACCATATATGGCCTGGATACACTAATATGGACCAAGGAATGATTTCATGCCCCAGGCAGGATGAAGTGAAATTTCATCACACTGCTCAGAAAATTGCATAATTTAAAACATAAGAATTACCTGGTTGCAGTAGCACACACCTATAAACCAACTATCCAAGAAGTTGAGGCAGGAGGATTGCAAGTTTGAGATCAGCCTGGGAAATAGTGACATAGCAAAACCTTGTCTCAAAAAAAATAGATAGATAGAAAGGAAGGAAGGACTGGGGTTGTAACTGAATGTAGAGTGGTACTGGGTTAAATTTCCAATACCACCAATATAAATAAAACTTACAAGTTATTTCTGAATTTTTCCATTTAATATTTCAGACCACAGTTGGCCTTGGGTAACTGAAACTATAGATACAGATAAGGGGGTGCTTCTGTTGTATCTGGGTCTTCATTTCTTCTCCTATTAGACTGGAACTATATGGTCTTATTGTAGTCTTATATCTGATCTATATATCTGCTGAACTATAATGTTCCTCTTGTAAACTTTTTCTTTTTTGTTGTTGTTTTGGTTTGTGTGTTTAGTGCTGGAGGTGAAACTTAAGGCCTCATGCATGTTGGGCAAGCATAATGTATCACTAAGTTATACCCCCAGACCACATTTTAAAATTTATATTGATTTTTTAAATGTCTATTTTTCCTTTTTTAGCTCTATGCAGGAGCTATTCTTGAAGTCTGTGGATGAAAATTGGGGAGGTTCCCTCAAGTCCAAGGTATGTAGTAAACTGTTTAATCATTTAAAATCAATATTGCAGAAGAATAGTTTCATTAAATAATAGTTTCATTAAATAATTTCACAAATAAGAATTTTCAGGATTATACTTTCTCAATAGTATACGAAGTTTTTTCACATTTCTTTTTGTGGAGGTGGAGTTTTGTCATAATCGGTGAATACCAAGTTACTTTCCTATAAACAAACAGCATATGAAATTTAGATTTAAAACAATGTGTGAAGTGGTTGTAGTTTTGAAAGGATACTGCATTTCTTTTGCCAGGTCAAATCTTTGACAGCCTTTCCTTTACCAGATATAAATGTATTTACTTTGAATAACATACCATTCTAGTTTATTTTTAATGTGAATTTATTTACTTAGAACTCCTAAGGATAAGTTGTATGAAGTGAAGGTAGACTGGTGCAACATGACAAATCACCAAGAGAATAAGTACCATAGAATTTGTAATACACAAAAGAAAGCCATAATGTGTATATCCTTGCGGGGAGTTTAATGGTAAATATGTTAAAGGATAATTATAAAAATATGTTCTTTTGGTTAATATTAAATAGTAATGGAACTTTTATCTCCAAGGAGGCTTCAACTAATGCTTTTTTATTCTACTCTTACATGTCATTTGAAAATCAGTTTTATGAAATTGAACTTAACTGAAGGTAATGAAGCTCTGTTTTTATTTAACAGAAATATGAACATTTAATTAAGTGTTCTGATTATGTACCTAATTCTATTTTGACTTTGTCAATTTTCCCATGATTTATTTTCTTATTTACTTACTGACAAGAGAGTTTTTTGAATTTAGTATTTTTTAAAATTTCTTGTTAGCACGTGCCTTTGATTACTGACCTGGAATGGTTTTATACCAAATTACTGCTCATTTTGGCACAGAAATGTAATACAGTTGTTTTGAGGGACTTTTTTTAGGAGACCCCAAATAGATACACATACACATCTAATTGAATATATTCTTTGTTAGAATAATTACATATTCTGATATAGCACCCGATTTATTAAATATCTGTTCCCAGAAAATTTCTATTTATTCAAAATTTAGTTCCAGCATTATTTTTTTTTATTGGTTGTTCAAAACATTACAAAGCTCATGACATATCATCTTTCATACATTTGATTCAAGTGGGTTATGAACTCCCATTTTTACCCCAAATACAAATTGCAGAATCACATCGGTTACACATCCACATTTTTACATAATGCCATATTAGTGACTGTTGTATTCTGCTACCTTTCCTATCCCCTACTATCCCCCCTCCCCTCACCTCCCATCTTCCCTCTCTACCCCATCTGCTGTTGTTCAATTCTCTCCCTTGTTTTTTTTTTTTTTTTTCTCCCCCCCTTTCCCCTCACAACCTCTTATATGTAATCTTGTGTAACATTGAGGATCTCCTTCCATTTCTATACAGTTTCCCTTCTCTCTCCCTTTCCCTCCCACTACTCGTCTCTGTTTAATGTTAATCTTTTCCTCATACTCTTCCTCCCTGCTCTGTTCTTAGTTGCTCTCCTTAAATCAAAGAAGACATTTGGCATTTGTTTTTTAAGGATTGGCTAGCTTCACTTAGCATAATCTGCTCTAGTGCCATCCATTTCCCTGCAAATTCCATGATTTTGTCGTTTTTTAGTGCTGCGTAATACTCCATTGTGTATAAATGCCACATTTTTTTTATCCATTCATCTATTGAAGGGCATCTAGGTTGGTTCCACAGTCTAGCTATTGTGAATTGTGCTGCTATGAACATCGATGTAGCAGTATCCCTGTAGTACGCTCTTTTAAGGTCTTCAGGGAATAGTCCGAGAAGGGCGATAGCTGGGTCAAATGGTGGTTCCATTCCCAGCTTTCCCAGGAATCTCCATACTGCTTTCCAAATTGGCCGCACCAATTTGCAGTCCCACCAGCAATGTACAAGTGTACCCTTTTCCCCACATCCTCGCCAGCACTTGTTGTTGTTTGACTTCGTAATGGCTGCCAATCTTACTGGAGTGAGATGGTATCTTAGGGTGGTTTTGATTTGCATTTCTCTGACTGCTAGAGATGGTGAGCATTTTTTCATGTACTTGTTGATTGATTGTATGTCCTCCTCTGAGAAGTGTCTGTTCAGGTCCTTGGCCCATTTGTTGATTGGTTTATTATCTTATTGTTTAATTTTTTGAGTTCTTTGTATATTCTGGATATTAGGGCTCTATCTGAAGTGTGAGGAGTAAAAATTTGTTCCCATGATGTAGGCTCTCTATTTACCTCTCTTATTGTTTCTCTTCCTGAGAAAAAAATTTTTACTTTAAGTAAGTCCCATTTGTTTATTCTTGTTATTAACTCTTGAGCTATGGGTGTCCTATTAAGGAATTTGGAGCCCGACCCCACAATATGTAGATCGGAGCCAACTTTTTCTTCTATCAGATGCAGTCTCTGATTTGATAGCAAGCTCTTTGATCCATTTTGAGTTAACTTTTGTGCATGGCGAGAGAAAGGGGTTCATCTTCATTTTTCCCAGCACCATTTATTGAAGATGCTATCCTTCCTCCATTGCATGCTTTTAGCCCCTTTATCAAATATAAGAAAGTTGTAATTTTGTGGATTGGTTTCTGTGTCCTCTATTCTGTACCATTGGTCCACCCACCTGTTTTGGTACCAGTACCATGCTGTTTTTGTTACTATTGCTCTGTAGTACAGTTTGAAATCTGGTATCACTATACCTCCAGATTCACACTTCCTGCTTAGAATTGCTTTTGCTATTCTGGGTCTTTTGTTTTTCCGTATGAATTTCATGATTGCTTTATCTATTTCTACAAGAAATGCCGTTGGGATTTTGATTGGCATTGCATTAAACCTGTAGGGAACTTTGAGTAATATCGCCATTTTGATGATGTTAGTTCGGCCTATCCATGAACAGGGTATATTTTTCCATCTTCTAAGATCTTCTTCTATTTCTCTCTTTAGGGTTCTGTAGTTTTCATTGTATAAATCTTTCACCTCTTTTGTTAGGTTGATTCCCAAGTATTTTATTTTTTTTGAGGATATTGTGAATGGAGTGGTTTTCCTCATTTCCATTTCAGAAGTTTTGTCGCTGATATACAGGAATGCCTTTGATTTATGCGTGTTGATTTTATATCCTGCCACTTTGCTGAATTCATTTATTAGTTCTATTAGTTTCTTGGTAGACTCTTTTGGATCTTCTAGGTATAGAATCATATCATCTGCAAATAGTGATAATTTAAGTTCTTCTTTTCCTATTTTGATGCCTTTAATTTCTTTCGTCTGTCTAATTGCTCTGGCCAGTGTTTCGAGAACTATGTTGAACAGAAGTGGTGAGAGAGGGCATCCCTGTCTTGTTCCAGATTTTAGAGGGAATGCCTTCAATTTTTCTCCATTCAGAATGATGCTAGCCTGAGGCTTAGCATAGATTGCTTTTACAATATTGAGGTAAGTTCCTATTATCCCTAGTTTTTCTAGTGTTTCGAACGTAAAGGGATGCTGTACTTTGTCGAATGCTTTTTCTGCATCTATCGAGATGATCATATGGTTCTTATCTTTAAGTCTATTGATGTGGTGAATAACATTTATTGATTTCCGTATATTGAACCAGCCTTGCATCCCAGGGATGAATCCTACTTGATCATGGTGCACAATTTTTTTGATATGCTTTTGTATTCGATTCGCCAGGATTTTATTGAGAATTTTTGCATCTAAGTTCATTAGAGATATTGGTCTGTAGTTTTCTTTCTTTGAAGTGTCTTTGTCTGGTTTAGGTATCAGGGTGATGTTAGCCTCATAGAATGAATTTGGAAGAGCTCCTTCTTTTTCTATTTCTTGAAATAGCTTGAAAAGTATTGGTATTAATTCTTCTTTGAAGGTTTTGTAAAACTCCGCTGTATACCCATCCAGTCCAGGGCTTTTCTTGGTTGGTAGTCTTTTGATGATCCAGCATTATTTTGAACAGAAATTTTTACTCTTTGCGTTCCATTAGCAGATCTCACATAATATTGTGCTATATTCAGCAAACTAGTCTTTTGCTTCTATCAACTAGTCTTTTGCCTCTATCAAACTAGAAACTCCTTTAAATTCCAGATTTTTTTTTATTTCTTAATGTACCCAGAATCTACCACTATTCCATAAGAAATTCAATTATTGAATTATTGCATTGATTTACTGAATTTTTCTAATTCAAGGAATATTCCCACTTTTGACAGATTGAAATCTAATAAAAAGTCTTTTTAACATTGTGTATTTACTCTTGGTTAGTTTATAGGCTTCAAGCATTTCTTTTCTTATTTTGTTATTTTGTAACCAAGAAGTCAGACTTTCTAGTTAGTCTTGCTTTTGTGTTTTATCTCTGTGACCTCCCAAATTCTCTTAAATATTTGGGTTGCCCTTTTCTGGATATTTTTAAGTGCTTTAAATTGTCTTCTTGGTATTGACTAAAATGACTCCTACTTTTGCACTCTAAAAGGTTCACATACAATAATAAATTTTCTCAATTTAGATTCTTTGGAGGGTAGAAGGGATAACCAATAACTTACAATGAGTTCATTTGAAAATTCAATTATATTTAGTTATGCTGATTTTATATTCTTATTGCTGGATATGGTATGGCATTTTTATTTAGAATTTATTCTAATTCATATGTACTCATCTAATCAATAAGAAAACATCTGTCCATCTATGTAATTTTATATAATGGTTCACAAGTCTTAATTATATCTGTCATGAGCTTCATTTTTTTTTTAATATTTATTTTTTAGGTGTAGATGGACACAACGCAATGTCTTTATTTTTATGTGGTTCTGAGGATCGAACCCGGGTCCCACCCATGTTAGGCGGGCACTTAACATAAGAACATTTTCTATAGATAGAGATAGGATTAATTTAAAAATCTCCAAATCAATATTATTAAGCTGTTTTTAAAATAACAGAAAGTAAACTAGAAAATATATTACCTTTATGAGATCATTTTGCAAGTTTGTGGACTTTT